AACATTGACTAATCCAGAGTTTGGTCCATAATTTCATGGTTAGGCTGGGAGGATAACGGTTGCCACTCCAGAGCTCCCACTATTCCCTCACCTGAGGGCTAACAATCTCGCATTAGTTTCCAATCAATTAGACCAAATTGGGGATTTCAATCTGTCACCTTAAAATCTCTAATTTTTCATCCAACAAAGTATATTTCCCTATTTTTTTGTACCCAATCCCATGGATGACATACTGTCCCATGAAATTAAATGTGATTCTCCTTATGTTGTAGAAATCATATCTCATTTAAGTACATATGTCTCTCAACAAGTTTTAACATTTCAATTGGTATGATAGAAAAGTAAATGAAGATTGAAGTTCAAATCATCACAAATTATTAACATTTAAAACCATAGAAAACAAAATCTGTTATTCACAAAACCATATGTCAAAGTAAGGAGAAGGATAAATAAGAATACTCAGAATTCATGAGAAGGATACTACAAAACATAGATTTCATATATAAAAATAAGTTTACAAAATAAAAAAACAAAAATATAACTTACCTTCCCAAGAAAATCCCTAGAAGTTCTCTCCAATCCTTTCTCTCTTTACAATCCCACTCAACTCTCTCTAAGAAGTGTAATGAAGAAATCTCTTACCTTCCCTCTCCTCTTACAACCCTAGAAGAAAATCTCCTCTTCTCTCTCTATCTCTAACTAACACCCCTTTCTCTCTCTATCTCTAACTAACACCCCTTTCTCTCTCTCACACACCACACACATTGACAAATGAGAAGTCCTCTTCTTTTATTTTGTGCTGCCTCCTTTGGAAAAGAATTCAAAATTCTCTTCAAAAATTTTAACTCTTTTGAATTCAAAAGATGTGTCATTTGATCCAAGAGGCATATTCCTTCCGAAAAGAACCTTTTAAAGTGTCTAGATGCATTGAATTACTCCAAGAGGTGTGTAGAGCAAGTGTCCTTTTGAAATTTACGCAAAAATTTATCTCGAATCACCTTAATTTAAAAAAGTCATCGCTGGTGCATCATGCACCAGCTCTCTGGATTTTGGCGCATCATACGCTGATCTGGCGCATCATGCATCAGAATCCCAAAATTCGTTGTTTTGTCTTTAAATTTGTCCCTTTTTGTCATTTTTGCTCCAAATACCTAAAAATGATATCCATGCAGCAAAAATAAAAAAATACCTTTCCTTAAAGTGCAATATCACCAAAAGTAAGCATAAAATAAGCAGTTAAAATGGAATATTACTTCGGTGTATCAGCTTGTTAATGGAAACATTTTTGTTATTTTACCGTTGTTGTAATCATTGTTGTTGTGTGAGACTTTTTTGCCAACTTACTTGAAGCTTATGACAACAAGATATTTGTTCAAGGAAGAGTAGTAGAGTTCACTTCTGAGATGAATAATGTGATATATGGTCCGTCACCTGCTATTGATTGTTTCTATTTTGAGTACACGCCTTTTGAAGCAGAGTTAGACAAGATTATTGCATATTTAACTGATGAACGTGGAGCGTAGAAGATTTGGAGAAATCATAAGGTAATTTTTTCTGCTTCCATGCTCAATGCCACCTCAAGGGCTTGGCATAATTTCATTTCAGCTCACCTCCTTCCTTCAAATCATTTAAGTGAAGTAATAAGATAAAGAACCATATTAAGCTAATGCATCCAAGAGATGAAATCTATAGATCTTGGTTCTCTTATTTATGAGGCTATTAGTTCTACTGCTAGAGCTATTACTACTTCAGGTATAGGATTTCCTTTTTTAATTTTTACTATTTGCAAAGACTCTGGAGTAAATTTTGATCATTGGGAGCAGCATTTGCAACCACTTAAGCCTATTTGTAAGGCTAATGTAGATGTGTATGGACGACTTGGGGGTAGAGCTCATGATGCAAATTCTACTACTACTTCTAGGTTGTCTACTTCTAGACCTTCTACCTCCACTGCTACTGAGCCTCCATCTGGTCTCTGGGACATATTGAATGAGAGATATTTGGAGCACCAGAACGATATGTTTATGATGCAGTGTTGTATGAAAAATATGGAAGACAAAGCTGATCATCTGGCAGATTATGTTTGGAGGAAGAGTGATTATGATGCATATTATGATGAGTCATTAGTGAAATTCATGAAGGGAGATCAATCAGTTGAATTTCTTTCATATCCTCAATTTACAACTTATGAGAGTCGCAAGTCCATGGATGATTATATCCCCTTTGATTTTAATGATGAGGAGGAGGAGGAGGAGAATCAGACTTTATTTACTATTCTGTAGTAGTTATGATTTTTAGATCTCTATCATTATGGACTGTTGATGTATTTTTTATTTCTCTATGTACTTTTATTCATAATGCAGTTTCTTATTTAGTTTGCTTATGTGTTAGAGTAATCTTTTACATTGCAAAGTTTCATGATATACTTGTTGTGATTTAGATTTTCTACTACTCAACACTTGTTTTTATTAATTATACCTATATTATTTCCCTTCTTAGAATTTAAAAAATTTTCTCTTTCTTCATGCTTATTATGAACTATATTTAAATAAATAAGAATTTAAGTTTGGGAGAAGGGAGAAAAAAAATTTCAAACTAAACCTTATTTTTCTAAGTAAGTTATATTCTTAAAAATTATTCTAACATAAAATGTGGTATGTTAGGATAGCTTTAGATAACTATATTTTTTATTTTGTAAATGTCATAATAGACTTAAGTAAGAGTTTTTAAAAGTAAAAGTTAGTTCTAGAATTATGTATTTAATATAAGAGTATAAGATTGTGTTTTAATTATTTAAAGTAAGGAAAAATTGTATTTTTTAAATATTAAGAAATTTAGATTTTTATTTAAAAGAAAAGAATTGAGACTCGATGAAAAAACATTTGAAAGCTAATATACATTTACTAAATAAGGAAATGTGGGAAGTTTTAACTTTAAGAAGAGAATGGAGAAGTTCAAAATCATTGAAGGCTATCCAGGTATAGTAATTCTCATATGACATGAAAAAAATAGAAAGAATTGAAAATGATCATAAGAAAGAGAAAAAAAGAAAAATCAAAAGAAAAAATAAAAGGCAAAAAAAAGAAAAATATGTGGGGAGAAGCTTGAGGAGATGCCTAATCAAAATTGGCTTCACTTGAATCAACTTAAGGAAAAAGAATTATTTGCATTTTTAAAATTTTTTGAAATATTAGCATCTTTACTAGTAGAGCCCTCATGAACTTCTTTTTCTTGTAATTCTTCTAAATATCCTTAGTACGACAAATCAAAATTATTCTTAAAATAAATAGGAAATCAGAATTCTTAAACCTGACATACTTGGCTACTAAATATTCTTACATATTAGTTTTAACTTATGTCATAGAAAATATTTCTAAAGTTTCACTATTAAATTTATAAAAAAAAACTTTAGAAATTCTTAAGTAAAACTCACTGCCATAAGTTGTACTTTTTATAGTAAAAATGTTACTTGAGGACAAGTAACGTTTAAGTTTGGGAAAATTGATCCACATTAAAATTACCTATTTTTATGCACATTTTATACCCATTTTTTAAGATATTACGCTTTAATGAAAGATATTTTGTGTATTTTTTGTTGCAGGTGCAAGAAAAAGAGTTTAAGAGCAAAAAGAAGCAAAAGTACATCTAAAAGGAGCAAAATAGTCCATTTCAAAGAAAATTGACAAAAACAGCCAAATTGGCGCCTAGGCGCCAGATGAAGAACGTGGCTGGCTCCTAGGCACCACATTTTTTTTTCTAGAAGATCCATTGAATGAGGCCAAATTTTAAGGAGATGTTTGAATCATTCCATTGTCATTTTTGAAGCTTTATAAATAGGAATTAATTCTAAATGTCTAGAGAGAGTGCTGGTGCGTGTTAGAGACTGTTAGAGAGTTCTAAAGTCGTGTATAGAGTGGGTGGACACTTTGGTGAGTCTTTGTGATTTTTGAAGTGGTGAGTCCTGTAAGAGTCAATTGGAGTCAGAGAAGTTAGAGAACTTCAAAGGAGTGCTTAGGGAAACATTTCAGATAAGTATTTGTATATTTTTCTTTAAGTGTTGTACTTTAGATTTGAGTTTTATAGATATGTTTTATTTTCTTATTCCCATGTCATATGACTTCCAAAATTTCATATTAACTATTGTCTAAAACTCATTACATAATGACAATGTTGATACCCTAAGCTTCCTCCCACCACCGCCATGGAGATGATCGCCTTGATTTAAGCAAATGAAATAATAATAGTGTGTTCCCCATGTACAAGAAACAATGCCTTTATAACTCTTAATTCTCGTAGTGGAATTATTTAAAATAGCCTAGGTCCCAATATCTTTTTCATTACAGATTTTCATGTAAGAAAATCTTATGTCTTCCAAATCTTTTTGGCTCAATGGAATGAAACACCTAACTAAACATAAGAGTGTTCAAATTAGCTCATGTTGCTATGAACTTGACCTAACCTACTCAAAGAACTAATGGTGAACTTGTTTGAAAAATTCATGATGAACTCACCAACCAAATTCAAAGAGAATTCATCAGTTGAGCTCATGGAAAACTTGCCAAAATCAAGGTGAACTTGTTAAAACAACTAAGCTATCAAGTTGGTCGAGTTGAAGTATAGAATTAGACTACACACCATATTTATTTTACAACAAATAACCAAAAGGTATTTATTTTTTTATTCATATGACTAAATATTTAATTTTTGAAGTGTTACTCAAATTCAAATCCAAATTTATAAGCTATGAGAATGGCCTGATCAGGCTACACAATTAGTTGTTAAGGAATTCTAAAAAATAAATCAACCGTCTCTTACACATCCGTTTTTTTTTTTCAAACGGGCTAGTAAGATTCTACCATTAACCACAGAATTCAAAAGCCCTACATGTCTGATACAGGTTAGACTCAAACTTATGTGTGTCATTTTTTTTACAACACTAAAATATTATTTTCTCTCCCTCATGATGAAATTGTCATTACAGGATAAAAACACAAAAAGCATGATAAATTAATAAAACTTTTAAGTTATTGGCTTTTACATACAAATGGACAAAATACAGAGTTCATGTTGCATTCGTTGATATTAATACAAATAATAATAAACCACTTACACCCTCATTTGTCAGTCAAGCTCGAACAAATTATTACAGAAACGAGCTTATTGGAACAAAGATATCTGAAAAAGAAATGTTTCATTCCAAGCTCCTATTCAGTAATTTAAGCTTGAGCTGCTGTAATTTGCTGCTTGGCATCCAGGGCTTTCTCATAATCTTCAATGGACTTGAAAAGCTCCGAGAAATTGCCTTTGCCGAAGCCTCCACATCCCCCCTTTTGGTATTCCTTCCCTTCTTCATCCTTCATAATGCAACCAATCCTCTGTATGATCTCAAGAAATAGGGTTGGCCTGGAATTTCAAACAAGATAAGAAGCTTAATTTAAGCTTGTAAGTAATCTTCGATTCAAGTTGGGGTTTATAAGTTGATTCAATAATTTAGAAAGGTAATCAAATGCAATAATTAATATAGTAGGAGATAAGGGGTCAGCTTGCTTGATTCCTCTTGATGAAGTGAAGAAATCATGAGAATTACAATTAATAAACACTGATTGATAATTGTTTCTTAGCCATCTGTGTATCAGTAAGATAAATTGATGAGTGAAGCCCCTTGCAGATAACACTTCCTCAATGAACTCCCCCTTGGAACTTACACATATAAACAGTGATATATATAGCATATATATATCTCTATATATATGTACGTATATATATCTATATATATGTACATATATATATATATCTCTATAGATGTATATATCTATATATATGTGGTAATGTGTGTGTGTGTGTGTGTGTGTGTGTGTGTGTGTGTGTGGCGAAAGCAAGAGAGAGAGAAATGGCGGCATTGCGTACTCTGATCAGTTGCTCGGCCATCTGCTCGTCAGTTGTAAGTCCTCTCTGGTCTGGGATTTGATTTCGCCAAGGTGTAGGGTGTGATAATTGAATTATAAGAGCATGAGGGATGACCTGGTTTTGTATCATAGCCTCCAGTCATTTCTTTTGAGATATAAATATATATATATATATCAATAATGGCGGGGCGGTTCCTTGAAATCTATGATTTTCCCCCAATCTTTTCATAAAAGCTAGTTAAAAAAAATGGCAAGACTGCCTTGTTTATGTTTGATAATGATTGTGCTTCTCTTGCTGCTTCCTGTCGTTTGGCCTTGATGGGGAAATTTTTATATGGGTATCCTAAGCATGTGCTAATTAGGCGAGTTTGAAAATTTTAAGGTTAAGGGTGATTGGAAGATATGATTACTAGATGATCGACATACTTTTGTCCAACTATCTGTTAGGTTCATGAGGAGTGACAAGCGGCGGACATGGGAACATGCAGTATGTCAATCACAAATCCACTCTTGGGGCTCTTGCGGTGCACACGGTACATGTGGCTCTTTGAATTGCTCTTGTTGGTACACATGCCGACTAATCTAACAGTATGGGAAATCTGGGAAAGATGAGTAGACAATTTGGGGGGTACGGGTACAGCGCACGAAGTAGGAGCTCTAATGAAGAAGACTATACGTGGTTGTTTGCTAGAAAAATTATGCGGATTGACAATAGGGCTATGAAGCTTCTTAAGTAGTTTGTTGATTTCGATCCCCAAATAGAACCTCCAATTGTTTCAGTTTGGATATAAGTTCCCTGGTCTTAAGCTCATTTTCACAATCATAAAATTTGGTTTTCTTTGGCTGCCATATTTGGGAGACCTCTAAAATAGATTCTCCTACTTTCACTATCTCAAGGCCGACCTCAGCTCATGTGCTTTTTTAAAGGGATATAACCCAAGTGCATGCTGAAGAAAAATATGGATTGGTCCTCCTCACAATGGATATTGGTAAAGAGTTATTATTGAGCAACATCTTTTATACTGTTCTAATTCTAGGATGTTTGGTCACTCAGAGGTTCAATGCCATCACTTACATCCTGAGATTAAAAATAGTGATAAAAGGATGGGAGATATCAATTTACCAACGGAGGATAGGCTGTGCACTCCTAAGGAAGTGTTGAGGGATGGTGGATTTTAAGGTGTTGTCGTGGAAGGTCAAGGACACAGTTGACAAGGAGGTTGAGAATCTCAGACTTTGGATGCTGTTGAAGTGGAAGTGGAGGGAGCTATGGAGAACAGAAATTTTATTCAGGAAGCTCTTTCTAATTTGGAGGAGGGATGGATAATCCAAAAATCTAAAAGGAAGAAGAGAATTAATGAGTTGCTTCATCTCATGGAGGAAAATATAATTAATGCTGAGGATGCTTACTACTCTGAAAATATAATTAATGCTGAAAATATAATCTAAAAGGAGCTCATCATCACACCCTCACTAAAGGCTCTAGGAGGGGGAGAATGTTGCATCTTGTTTAACATTCTTTTTTGGAACATTAGGGGAAAAGGGGTGGGGGTTGACCCCCTTTCCCTTAAAAGAATACAATTTTTGTGCTAGGTCCACAAACTAAACATTTTAGCTATTTTGGAACCTTTAGCCACTGTCAATGCAGAGAAGATTCCTAAAAATTTCACGAATTTTAATTTTTTGAGAAACTCTAATAAAATTTGGTTGTTCTGGAGGAAGGAAATTCCTTTAAGCATGTTACATGATGATACACAGTTTATTCATGTGTGCTTTAAAAAAGATGAATACAATGGTTGGGCTACTTTTGTCTATGAAAGCACGGTTTATTCTGCTTGGCTGGATCTTTGGAAGAGGTTAATTGCCTCGGGTGAAATTACAAGGGAGAGGTAGATTGCAGGTGGGGATTTTAACATGAATATGAACAGTTTAGAAAAGAGAGGAGGTAGGAAGCCTGATCACTTTCTCATATCCAAGTTTTGTGATATGTCCACGGGGGCTAACCTTTTTGATCTTGGCTTCTCTGGCTCTAAATTCACCTGGAGGAGAGGTAATCTGGTGGAAAGATTGGATAGAGTATTTGCTAATCAGGAATGGCTAAACTCTTATAATGTATAAAAAGTTCTTCATCTTAATTGTGCAGGCTCTGATCACAGGCCATTACTATTATCATTCGATTTTTTTTTTTTCAAAATCATCATACTATCATTTTAGATATTTGAATATTTGGTCATCTCATCCAACCATCCATAATCTTATTGAAAGTGTATGGAAACCTTCTTTAGTGGTAGTTAGTGTTTCATTCTTTGGAATCTACAAAAAAAGGTGGCTTCTGTCTGGAGAAGATGGAATTGGGATACTTTTGGGAATGTACATAAAATGGTGACTGAGGTTGAGGAAAAAGTTAATGAGCTAGAAATAATAGATTTATGTTCTAGTTTTATTGTTGAGGAGCTCACTACAACCCATAAAAATATGTTATATGTGATCATGCAGGAAGACGATCTCCTTAGGCAAAAAGCTGGTGAAACCAATTTTTCAGAAGGAAACAAAAATACTAAATACGTTCATGCTACAATAAAACAAAAGACGAATTTAAACATCATTATTAGAATAAAAGATGATAGCTGAAAAATGATAGTGGAGATTTTATTTTAGATACTACTAATAATAGCAAACCTCTGATTCCATCAATTGAAAAACTTTCTGAACTTGAGATGAAAGTTCTCTCTACTCATTTAAAATATGCAATTTTTATGAACTCGTCAACTTTACCAGTTATTATATCTCATATTTAACTGTAGAACAAGAAGAAAATTTATTGGAGACATTGAGAAGATATAAAAATGTCATTGAATTGACATTAGCTGATATTAAAGGAATCAGTCTTTCAATCTGTATGCATATAATTTTAATGTAAAATAATCATAAACTTAGGGCAGATCCTCAAAGAAGATTAAATTCATTTATGAAAGAAGTGGTAAAGATAGAATTTTTAAAGTGGTTAGATGCGGGAATTATTTATCCAATTTTAGACAGCTGTGTTCCTAAGAAAGGAGAGTAACGATACCGTTAATGAAAGGAATGAATTAATTCCAATAAAACAAGTTTCTGGATGACGAATTTGTATTGCTTATAGAAAACTAAATATCGCCACTAGGAAATATCACTTTCCTTTAACTTTCCTGGACCAAATGTTATATAGGCTAGCTGGACACCGCTATTTTAACTTTTTGGATGGATATTTTGGGTACCACCAAAAACCTATTGCTCCCAAGGATCAAGAAAAGATGACACTTACTAGTTCTTATGGGACTTTTGCTTCTAGAAGAATGACTTTTGATTTATGCAATGCACTTGCAACTTTTCAAAGGTGTATGATGTCTATTTTTTGTGACTTAATTGAGAAAGGAATAGATGTTTTTATCGACGACTTCTCAATTTTTTGATCCTCTTTTGATTCATGTTTAGATCATTTAGTAAAGGTTTTAAAACGCTGTGAAGAAATAAATTTTGCTCTCAATTGGGAAAAATGTCTCAATTGGGAAAAATGATAATTTATGGTTGGAGGGAAAATTGTGTTAAGATATAAGATTTCTGAAAATGAAATGAAAGTAGATTTAGAAAAAATTCAAGTTATTGTTGAATTACACCCTCATATTACAGTAAAAGAAAAAAGAAGTTTTCTAAAACATGTTGGATTTTACCGATAGCACATTAAAGATTTAAAAATTGCTAAGCATCTATGACATCTTTTAGAAAAAGATACGAATCTTGATTTTGATAATAAATGTCTAAACACTTACAATTTATTAAAGAAAAAAAATAATCATAGCACCATTATTGTTTCACTTAACTGGGAGAAACCATTTGAGTTATTGTGTGACGTAAGTGATTAAGCTATTGGTGTTATTTTAGGATAAAAATATGATAAAATTTTTAAAGTTATAAATTATACTAGTAAAACTCTTAATGAAGCTCAAATTAATTACACAATAACTGAAAAAGAGTTATTGGCAATATGATTTTGGTAAACTTACACCATATCTTATCAGAGCCAGATATATTGTGCATAGTGTATGATTTTGGTAAACTTACACCATATCTTATCAGAGCCAGATGTATTGTGCATAGTGTTGATTTCACAATTAAATATCTTATGTCAAAGAAGGATGTAAAACTAAGATTAATCAGATGGGTCCTTCTGCTGCAAGAGTTTGATTTTCAGGTAATGAATAAGAAATACACTGATAATCAAATCACTGATCATTTGTCAAGACTTGGACAGAAGAATTATAAAAATGTTGATGATGAAAAATGAAAATTTTTCTGATGAACAACTATATGTTGTTGTTGAGTGACATATATCGTGGTAGGCAGATTTAATTAACTACATAGTTAGTAACATCATACCATATGGATTAACAAGCCACCAGAAGAAAAAGTTCATTCATGATGCAAGATTTTACTTTTGGAATGAACCTTATTTATAAAAAA